GACGCCATGTGCTGGAGAAAACACAGCAGGGACTATGGGATATGGAGCCGAGGCGGTGGGAGTGGTGCTGCTAGAAACCAGTGTATCTGGGAGGTCTTGTGACCGGCCAATTCGATCAAGGTTTTCCGTGGTTTTCCTTGGTCCCAGAGCAAATGCTGAGTTGGTACCCAAATTCCACGTTGCACTGCATGCTTCACATGCAGCCCCCCCAATAGTAACATTATGGAACTTATTATACCATAACTACACAAGAATGACATGTCTTATATCATGTATAATGATCCATGGATACGAAATAAATGAAATGAAATGAAATGGAATAACGATAAGGATTTCTAAGAAGTAGAGTACCTTGTTTGCAGCATTCATATCAACTGTAGAAAAACTGAGGAGCTCCTGCAAGTCAGCTGTATTCCCTTCAGAAGCTGCACAATGAAGAGCCAACACAATAAAACTGTCATCCTAGAAATCAAAACACATTCACACAGACATCATATTTGTAGTTTCCAAATTCCAGACATTCAAATATGTGATGATAGTCATGACTTAAAAAATATCTGTTCTGAACAACACATGAATCATCTTGTCACACAATATTCTGAATCTTTAAGTCACTGTATAACAAATGCAGTATGTTATAAACTATGAATCTAACTATTTTAATTATTACTTAACACTTTAAGCACTATACTGTGTTTATGTATAGTAAGTCTGCATTGGAATACTAAACCATATGTGAACTATATCTTGTAATTGAAGTCTTCCACCACCATAATTCTTGTTCCTCACAACCACTTTTATAATTCTGTACACTTGGATTGAAGTCTACTTCAGCCATGAATTCATATTTTAATCTATAACATTATTTCTAGGCCAGTTTTTAATGCGTAGGTACATAAAAGCTCAATGCCAAGGGAAACATACTATATGTAGAATGAGACACTTATTTTAAGGGCACATTATGCACAAAACCGTCTCTTATCTGATGAAGATACCACCATTTGAAGAAAGTTCCTACTGCAAGAGCAAACACTGCATGATATGTGTACTAGGTGAGCCATTACTAACTCACATAGCAAGCAGACTACAGTGGATCAATAACATGCCATTCCTACAGGTCATGGGCTGTTCCAAAATCCCTGACCCCTTTCCAGGTACCACTCAGCACAACTTTAAAAACATTTAAGCATCAAGAGAAAGATGGGAAAGCAATAATATGCCCTTAATTTAAAGTTAATTATACTTACATATGAGTTTAATGGAACAAAAAATAGCTAAAAAGAGATTTTGAAAGATTTAAATGTAATGAAAACATATTTATGTAAGAAGGAAACAATATATATCGAGCAAATATTATTACATATTAATATTACGAGTAGCATTAAGGATGGTATTAGCAACTCACTTTAAAACAATTGCTAGTCACAATAAAATAAGCAGATGATGAGCATAATTATTACACACCATCTATTAATGTGCTGACCTTGAATAAATACAGCAACTCTGCTTCTGTAAGTAGTTTCATCAGAATTCGGCTGTCACTAATTATAAGAATATTCCATTTAATTTCTGACAAGTTTCTTCATGCTCCCCCCCCCCCACATCCTCTGATACAAAATACTTCCTAAATCTACACATTAAACTCAAGAAATTGCCAAGACTTAACCATCATAAACATTAATTACTAAATACATATATGAAAGTCCTGTATATATTTGGACAGTTAAGTCCATGTGTAGGAATTTTAAAACCTTGTCAGGCGGGTCCCTTGTCACCACTGCATGGCATGTCCTCAAGTTGTGGATGGAGGAGATGCCCTCCAGGTATGGAGAGTAGCTGCGAATATATTGAATAAGCAGTCGCAGACAGCCGACAAGGGGTGGTCCTCCAGCATGGGGCTAACAACTCCTCACTGTAAAAAATAAGCTTGTTACAAAAATTTTCAAGAATCCTCACACCTGGATGAATTCCTTGGATAAACGACCTAAGCAAAAGAAAATGGATATGACATTTGGTACTTGGAATGTTAGAAGTGTGTATAGGGCAGGGTCACTCAGGACAGTGGCAGAAGAAATCTCAAAATAGATTTAGTGAGGGTACAGGAGGTCAGATGGAGCATAGGGGGCACCAAACCAGCAGGCAAATATTAATTTTCCTATGGAAAGGGGAATGATAATCATGAATTAGGTACAGGATTTTTCATGCATAAGAGAATCATATCAGCAGTTAAGAGGGTAGAGTTCATTAGCAGTAGGCTGTCATACATGTACATAATACTAAGAGGTCACTGATGTGATATAATCATTCAAAATGTTCATGCCAAAAGAGAAGACAAAACTGATGGTATATTGGGCAGGTTCTACGAAGAACTAGAACATGTGTTTGATAAATTCCCAAAGTACCATACAAAAATTTTGTTACAAGATTTCAAAGCCAAAGTAGGTGGGGAAGATATGTTCAAACCAACGATTTGGAATGAGAGTTTCCATGAAATTAGTAATGATAATGGAGTTAGAGTAGTAAACTTTGTCAAATCAAAACATCTTAACAGTCAAAAGTATTATGTTCCCACATCGTAACATTCATAAATGTACTTAAAGACATCTCCTGGGGGCATGCAGTAGTGTAGTTGGTTGAGACACTATGCTACAAGCCGGAAGGTCGCGGGACTGAAACCCGATGAGATGAATTTTATTTTCAATTTACCTAATCCTTCCAGCCACACTGTGGCCCTGGGGTCGACTCGGCCTCTAATTTAAATCAATTTCCTTATATTTTAGTTTATCCCGTGAGGTCGTAAACCCATCACTAACGCCATTCCTCCTCCTATGTACCGCTATCAACTATTTGGATCGATTAGGATACACGTATATGGCAGCATGGCATGCCTGACCATGCATAACTTTACACTTTCCTAAGAAATATGATAGAAATGAAGAGTACAATAGGCTGCGGCATAGCTCAAGCGGTTAGTCGCTGGCTTCCCACCGCAGCGGCCCGGGTTCGATCCGGGGTCTGGTCAAATGGGATTTATGGTGGACAAAGTGGCGCTGGGGCAGGTTTTTTCCGGGTACTTCGGTTTTCCTTGCCAATCTTCATTCCACCAATTGCTCCACAATCATCGTCACCTAACATCTGGGGCTGGTACAATAGGGCAGAAATCGCCGCAGTACAAGGGACTTAGTCCCAACCCATTAGCAATAAGAAAAAAGTACAATCGTTTAGGTCGTCTAGGTCGTCTGGCTTATAACGTAATTAAGGTAACTAACTAATCCGTGCTCTACGTAATCTTTGATGGGTTTAATGTTTGTGGGCCTGGAACCGCTGGAACGGTCTGATTCTGGATTTTTGTGATTGTTTGCGACGTTTGCGTTGCTTGTATTAGTGTTACTGATCTTAGCGATGTTCGAGGTTGAGAAAGTGGTGTTTACCGTGATTACAGTTTTCTTCTAAATTGCAATGTAGTGGAACGTTATGTTAGGATCAGAACTTTGTGCCATAGTAAACTGAAAGTTTGTGACGATATTTTTACAATTCTCTGGACGTTATATAACGCCCAATTTTTATTTAAAACAACATTTCAGACACTGTCGCTTCGATCTTCAAGTAGAACCTACTCAGTTGGACTAAATCGGTAGAGCTAGCACGTGTCTGCGGTGTACCTATATCGGCTGAGCCCAACTGAGCACAATTGAGTATGTTCCAACACAGAAGAAGTCGGAGACACAATCGAGTCTCCGAAACGTTGTGTGTTTTAAATAAAAACACGACGATGAATAATGTTCAGAAAGACAATAATTGCAGACTAACCTTGTTGACCAGCATTATAATGAGAAGTGGTTCTATGCCCCAAAAGGTAGTGCTATTTAGGAAATAAGTCGACGGGATACAAACACGAGTAAAGGCACCGTAGTAATTTCTGTTCCTTAGTTTGTGTTTTTTAATGTTATATTAAACACTTTTAAGTAACAGCATACCCACTGTAGGACATGATAAAATCGTTATCATCGCCGGAAGAAGTTGAACTCCAGGCTACTAAACGTAATGATCGATTAACAAATCAGAAGTTGCATAATGAAAATGGCTCTGATCGTATTTCAGACACATTATCAATAAAAATACCGTTTTCGGGAAACGTGTCAAAACATATATCACCTGCTGAGAATGAATATGATGATTTATGTCAGTTGAGCCCATTTAGTGATATAAGTTTTGGCTGGGAAGAAATTACAGTGAATACTCATCCTATTTCTAGATACAGTGCTTGTGGGATTGAAAGAAGAAATTCGTCTGGGAATGAATGTTCAAATAGTCATGAACAAAGGAATCGAACAACCGAGAACAGTGATTCTGTTGAATCAATAGAATGTGCATTAGGAAGCGATGTTTGCTGTTTGGGTGTAACAGAAGCTACCAAAGAAGAAAGTAACTTCAAAGAGAGCAAAGAAGGGGTAGCCCACTATGAACACATGGCAATAAAGTCTGCTGTAACAGAGGAATTTGTGAGAGACATATACAGAATGAAGGAAACACAACATATGTCTGAGAGTGAAGATTCTGATAGTGTTAGCACATGTCATTCTAGAAGAGAGTTAGTTTATTCACAGAAATTGGTATCAGACTCTGCTTCATCAGTAAAGTTGGCAGATAGCAGCTGTAAAAAGAAGAAAGTACATGATGTGCCCAGGAGGGAAGGATCTGGGAGTGACAGTACAGATGATTTTATAGAGGTAATACAAATAAATGGAATGAAAACATATTCATTGCAGAATTTAGGGTTTCTGCAGTTCCCAGACCTAAGATAAGCATTGTAAACTATCTGCTTTTAGCTTTGAATTTAAAGTGACACCAAATTGTCACATGTTGCTGTATGTGACACGACAAATAAATTCACACTGTTTTGGATCTAGCAAATTTATTGCACACTCACTCTTACACTTACACAATTTCACAATTACTGCCTTAACTGAAGGTTTCATCTCACATCTTCCACTGTCTTCGACGAACACTCTAATACTTGTAACTCATACTCATACTGAATACTCATACCCAGTACTATTAACTCTCTGATTCAACACTGACGAATACTCCTCGTTATGTAGCTTCTGCACTGACAGCACAAAAAACAGTTGCATGATAGCTACCACTGTTACGTAATGTCATGTTTACTGATTGCCTAGCAATAGTCTCTGCATGGATTCGCCTGTTGTGTGACGTCACAACCTAGTGTGAGGGGGAGGTGTTTACCGAGTGTTGCGTAGTTACGGGTTGAGTGGGGTATGTGACATCACTCGCACTTCCTGTTGCGCAATCCAAATGTTCACAGAGTTTTAGCCTAGCGACACATTGATACAATCTGCAATTCTCACATTGCACCCATGCCCCGAGGCCTCTGTGGCTCAACAGTTCCTGCATAGTGCAAATACGCCACACTGTATACAGGGTGTTTCACGACTTTAGGGCATAACTGCAGGAGGTGATTTCCTAGGTCTTTGTGATCAAAAAAGTTCATATAAACATGAGTCCGATTTTGGACGGTTACTTACTTTTGATAAACATCAAGTGCAGCAGCCATCCTGAAGGGGTGCTATGACAGTGCTGCGCATGGGAACAGGTTGAATTTAATTTGAATACTAGCGGGAAGGATCCTTCTATGCACCCTAAAGATAGCAAAACAAAAACAAACAAACTTCGTGAGTTTCATCCCCGTTATTATTCTAATAGTCTTCTTTTGTAAGAGAAAGATCTTCTTGGCCTCTGACGAATTACCCCAAAAAACTATTCCATATCTCATGAGTGAAAGAAAGTATGCATGATATATCATTTTAAGTGCTGTAACATTACTATATGTTTTCATAATTCATAGTGCATAACACGCCTTTCCCACTCTGGGTAACAATGATTCAACGTGTGTCTTCCAATTCAAGAACCTATAAATTTCAATGCCCAAGAATTTAATATGAATTTCCTCTTGTAATAATTCATTGTTAAACTTTAAATGTACAGGCATATTGTCACGATTGCTTGTTTGAAATTTTAACACTTTAGTTTTCCTCCAGTTTAGGGAAAAGCCATTGTACTTAAACCACTGACTTAAGGAATTTAACATAAGTTTAGACCTTTCTTGAATTTCATCGATATTAATACCCGACACTAATATGCTTGTATCATCAGCATACAACAATGACTTGTTGTCAGTACTTAATGCTGATGGCAGGTCATTAATATATAAAAGAAATAACAAAGGACCCAAAATTGAGCCCTGTGGCACTCCATATTTGACAGTTCCCCAGTCTGAACAGCATTTTCCATTCTCATTATTATGAAGTTCAACTCTTCGTCTTCTATTTTCCAGATAGGACTTCAACCATATTTTTATTTTACCACTAATGCCATATGTTGCTAATTTACTCAAAGAATATCATGACTCACACAGTCAAACGCTTTTCTCAAATCACAAAAAATTCCTAATGAATGATTGCGCCTTATTGTACTCCCATGTTTCCCCTTCATTTGGAATGGGCAAGTTTGTACAATACAGAAGGAACATTCAGATGGGAGAGTCCACCTTGTAATTACATTATACTATCAGTACATATATTCATTACTTTCATACACAGTTAATAATAAACATTTATTTAATTGTAACAGTGAGATTCACAAATACAAAACTAGAGCCCTCAGTAATTTATATTTACCTGCAGTTAACCTAACAAAATACAGTAAAGGTGCATACATATCAAGTATTAAAGTTTTCAGTCATCTTCCTCAAACGATAACAATGTTGGCTACTGATGTGAGAAAATTTTTAAATCTGCATTGAAGAGGTTTTTATATCATCCTTCCTTTTATTCCATGAATGAATATTATCAACATAATTGGTCATAAGTGTGTAACTTCGTAATGAATTTGATTCAGTTAATATAGGTAATTTAAATAAAATTGTATTAATTCAAGTTTTGTAGTAAGTTATTTTCATATTATCTTATTAAATGTTTTACTTTATATTAATTGGTTAATGTAAGTGATTTTGATTATGTGATTTGTATAATTTTGTATATATCATATCTCTTGATATACAGTAGAACTTGGTTATAACGTCATCAAAGGGACCTAAAAATAGTGTCGTTATAAACGAATGTCGTTGTAATCGAAATGGGCACTTCCACAGTAGCCTTATGTTAGTCACGTAAAAATCCACCAAAAACCGAGTTAAAATGTTGCATTTTTAGTGAAATACGTAGTTAAGTACAGACTAACGTAACATTAACGTGGAATTGCCCAAATTTGTAATATCAAAGACATATTACAGCGCTTTTCACTGACAATACACACCGCACTAATACTGTATATTAAAGGTAGGCCTACTCACCAAATTACAGTAGA